GACTGCTGCACTAAGGTCAGAAAGGCACTGCATGGTGTAGAAAATGTTGTGCTTACAACTGACATGTGGACATCAAGAGCCACAGAGGCATATTTAACTGTCTCATGCCACATCATAGATGAAACATGGCAAATGCCGGGATGCGTGCTAGAAACATGCTCTGTTTCTGGAGGACACACTGCAGATAATATTTGTTCAATTTTAACCAGAATTGCAGAGGAATGGGGCATAACAACCAAGATTCTGGCAGTAATAACAGATAATGGTGCCAACATGGTTGCTGCTGTGCGCAAAGCAGGATGGGCGCACTATCCATGTTTTGCACACACTTTAAATTTGGTGGTAAAAGATTCTTTCAAGTCTCAACCTGAGTTGCTTGAGATTCAACAGAAAAGCAGTGCTATTGTTGCTTTCTTTCACCATAGCACCAAAGCTGCAGACAAGCTTAAAGACATTCAAAAGCAGCAGAGCTTCCCTGAACATAAGCTTATTCAAGCAATTGAGACAAGGTGGAACTCTGTGTTCTATATGTGGGAGAGGCTGTCTGAGCAAAGGGAGGCAGTTACCACAGCCCTATGTCTCCTTGGAAAGAGCTCACTTTGCTTAAGTGAGGAAGAATGGTCTGTGATCCGTTTCTCCATTGATGCACTGAGACCATTTGAGGAAGCAACCAGAGACATATCTACTGAAAAACATGTTTCAGTTTCTAAGGTGATTCCCCTGGTGTCCCTGCTTCTCAAAAGCACTGCAAACTCTGAACGGCAAGGTAGCAAGCTAGCTGCTGAGCTGTCAGCACAATGTCTTCGTCGTTTCAGGGCTATAGAAACATTTTATGGTCTTGCTGTCAGCACCTACCTAGATATTAGATTTAAAAATCTGGCATTTCGTGACTCTTCAAATGTTGAGCCTGTAAAAGCTCGACTTGTCACTGAAATGAGTCAGACTTCAGCACCTTCAACATCTAGATTGAGCTCCAGTTCTGCACCAGCTCATGCAAATACCTCAGGCTCATCTACAGGGGCTGCTGCATGCCCACCTGAAGCAAAAGGTGGGATATGGACAGATTTTGATTCTCAAGTCCTTGCATCTCAGCAACAACAGACAACTGCCACTGATGTACTAATTGAAATGCGCAGATACACAGAAGAGAAGCTTCTTAGACTATTTCTTTAAGCTAAAGGCTTTAGGAGTTGTGTATTTTTATACTTAATTTATTGTAGTATTATTATTTATTAACTGTTTGTTTAAATTACCTTTTCAAAGCCAGAAAATATGTGCAATGTAGGGAAGACATTTTGTTTTATTTTATTTTTGTATTATACTTGAAAAAAGAGAATTTGTTCTTTGTTTTATAAGATTTGTTTTGGAGTGATTGTTTTGTCGACTTTGTTTATTTAGGAGTATTCTACGAAAGAAGTTTTAATATTTTCGAAAGATAATTTTGTGCACTTTGTGGAAGACAAAAAGTCTGTTCTTTTGTTATTGAACAAAAACTTGTTTTATGTTAATAAAGTTCTTTCTATTTACTGTTGAACTTTGTCTGGGTTTTATTAAATTAATAATACATTTTAAAACAAAACACAAAACACAAAACACCTGAAAGTCATGAAAATGTATTTATATTTGATAATGCATTAATTGTCAAAAAGTACCAGTATTGATATCGATATCGATATCAGTGATACTGGTCCAGTATTTACTTGGTATCGGATCGACACCAAAGCTTGCAGTATCGCCCACCACTAGTGGTCAGGGCCTGTGGCCTTCCTGGCCTTAATTCTCCTTAACTTCTTCCTGACCTGGTCTGCCAGGTGAGGCGGAGGGGGCTGGTGGGCAGTGACTGCTCAGGAGCTGTGGGATGTTGTTAGGGAAACACCGAAGTCTCCTGGACGGTATGATATTTTCCACACAGAGGTGTACGCCTTCCTGGCATTTGCATACATTACATCCAGAGTTTTATTGTCCCTTGTGCGGCAATTTACATACTGGGCGAAGTTTGGGAGGGTGGCCGAAAAGGTGAGAGAAGCATGGTTAAAGTCCCCCAGATAAGAATTAAAGCCTGTGGATGTTGTCTCTGCAGCCCGGCTATGGTGCTCAGCGCGCGCTGACACGCAGCCTTAGCGTCGGGCGGCA